GCAGATGATTAATCATCTGTTTCCGGAAGAAATCGAAGAATTTCTTGGGAATCCTACAAGATCCGTTCGTTCTTTTTTCTCTGACAGATGGTCAGAACTTCATCTGGGTTCGAATCCTACTGAGAGGTCCACTAGAGATCAGAAATTGTTGAAGAAACAACAAGATCTTTCTTTTGTCCCTTCCAGGCGATCGGAAAATAAAGAAATGGTTAATATATTCAAGATAATTACGTATTTACAAAATACCGTCTCAATTCATCCTATTTCATCAGATCCGGGATGTGATATGGTTCCGAAGGATGAACCGGATATGGACAGTTCCAATAAGATTTCATTCTTGAACAAAAATCCATTTTTTGATTTATTTCATCTATTCCATGACCGGAACAGGGGAGGATACACGTTACACCACGATTTTGAATCAGAAGAGAGATTTCAAGAAATGGCAGATTTATTCACTCTATCAATAACCGAGCCGGATCTGGTGTATCATAAGGGATTTGCCTTTTCTATTGATTCCTACGGATTGGATCAAAAACAATTCTTGAATGAGGTATTCAACTCCAGGGATGAATCGAAAAAGAAATCTTTATTGGTTCTACCTCCTATTTTTTATGAAGAGAATGAATCTTTTTATCGAAGGATCAGAAAAAAATGGGTCCGGATTTCCTGCGGGAATGATTTGGAAGATTCAAAACCAAAAATAGTGGTATTTGCTAGCAACAACATAATGGAGGCAGTCAATCAATATAGATTGATCCGAAATCTGATTCAAATCCAATATAGCACCTATGGGTACATAAGAAATGTATTGAATCGATTCTTTTTAATGAATAGATCCGATCGCAACTTCGAATATGGAATTCAAAGGGATCAAATAGGAAAGGATACTATGAATCATAGAACTATAATGAAATATACGATCAACCAACATTTATCGAATTTGAAAAAGAATCAGAAGAAATGGTTCGATCCTCTTATTTTATTTCTCGAACCGAGAGATCCATGAATCGGGATCCTAATGCATATAGATACAAATGGTCCAATGGGAGCAAGAATTTCCAGGAACATTTGGAACATTTCGTTTCTGAGCAGAATATGAAGTATGTGAACTCCAAGCAAATGTTTCATTGCATCCCTTACAGTTCATTTTCTTTTGCCTAACTCATGGAATATGCGTAACTTGGAAAAATAATAAAATGAAAGTAAACAAACAAAACACATTATTCATCTTACAAACAATCATATGCACATATACAAGGATAAAAAGAAATTACTAAAGTAGTGATTCTAACACCTTAAAATCAGACCTGTAAACAACCCTTTCAGCCATAGATAGTAAACAGACGTTTATCCCAAAGTGATAGACGAGTTACCTCATCTCACCAAGCGATATGCAAAGAATGCATGTAAGACAAATTGACATTTGATCCACCAAATGAATCGAAAATAATTTACGTATAGAGAGGGAGAGAGGAGGTGATGGAGAAAAAGATTACATTAGTAAGACCAGTTGGCAAAGGTGGAATGATCTTAAATGCAGTGGGACGGTTGTCCAATTTGAATCTATTGATAAAAGCTGCCCCTACAGAAGCCAATGGACGAATTGAAGATTTCACGCTTGAGGGTTCCGGCAGAGCCACAATTGAACTTGATTTGGAACTATGAGTCTCTGCAGCTTTGCCATTATCATTAACCACTTCAGCTTGCAGTGATGATACAACAGTACCAGGATCAACGGATCTAGAAGCTGCAAATTTTGCAACATCAGCTACGGCACCAGCTTTATGTCTTTTAGCGGCCTGCTCTGATGATGCCTCACCTTTCAGACCTTTACCCTGCAAAAGGCCAAAATCTAAATAGCCAACCAAAGAAGTGACACCAAACAAGAGGAGTTAGGGAAAGAGAGAGAGGGCGGGGGGTGAATTTGGTATCTTATATTACTATAGTGTGCAAATTCACATCATGAACATGAATATAGTGCAGGAGCAAACAAACCAACAGCTTGATGCACACAAAAGATCGGAATGGGGAAATAAAAAACGAAAGCATACAGAATTTGATATAAATAGTTAAGAAACTCAATTAGGATCGACAATTTTAAGTCAAGTGTATTACTTGTTTCTCAAGCAAATCCAATTGCAGCCGCAAGTCATTCCGTTTCTGATCAAGCATCTCTTGCTTCTTGCGGACTTCCTTCTTCAAAAGCTCTATTTCATCCAGCTTCTTTTTTGAAGGAGGTTGGGCTCTGGGACCATTAGCTACCACAGGCTTAGGATGATCAGAGGCTGGCACAGGAATGACAGAAGCATGGGCAACACTACTCTTGAAAGGTGTAGACTGAATAACATCTTTTCCTCTGTTAGCACCAGATGATTGAGGTGGAACTGAACCAACTGTCATACTATTGCTGCTACTCATTCCATCATCAGGAATGCTGTCTCTATTAGCCCACATTAGCTTAATAAAGCGGTTACCCATTACAGCATCAGGCGCTTTTACAGCAGCCTCTGCTTCTTCTCTCTTAGAGAACTGAACAAAAGCTCTTTCAGTATTGAATGGAATATAAATATCAATGACCTCTCCAAATTTCTGGAAATGCGATAAAAGGGTATCCCTTCTGTTGTTTTTCAGGGGAATGCCATTAACAAATAGAGTACGTAGTGCCTTT